AGAGCTTCTGAGGAAGAAACGGTCCCATACGGTGGTCGTTTGGGCACTGGAGACTTTGACTCTGGAGCAGAGGAGGGCAGCCTGCTGCCGGACGGAGCTGGAGCTGGGGGCGGTGGGGAGCGGTCAGTGCAGGGAAACCAGCTTCAGACTCAGCCGTGTGAAGGGGCTGGACGGCAAGGTCACCGCACAGAATGTGGCTTTTTCTCTAAAGCAGTGCTTGCTTGTGGGGTTCTTGCTAGCTGGCAGTTAATGTATGTCATACATACCTGTGCAAAGTTAGGCTGTCATCTTGTTCAAAACTTACTTTTAAAAGGTTTCTGAGGGGGTAGCAAGTTGGGGGCCGGGCCCTCGAGTCTGTTAATAGAATGGGTACCGCTCTCCAGGGAGTATTTCACATGGAGGTCTAGGGCTCATCACCCGGATGAGAAAGTCGATATCGTATTTTAAAAATCAGTCTATGAGAAGGATGTGATTTATCATGTAGTGTGTGTTGAATTTATAATAAATTTATGAAAGCCTCTGTCATTGGTGAAGGAATAGGACTCGGTGGTACCAAAAGGGTATTGCATAGGGTTTCAGTGGTGTTCCTCATTAATGCTTTTGAAAAAGACACAGCTATGTTTAAAATTATGTGAAAAGAAAAGAAAGGAAAGCATTCGATTTGGACAGAACAGTAATTTACTCTTCGCTGTTTTCCCCTCTTGTGAATGGCAGGGGATAGACTCGCTAAATTAATGACAACTTGAATTATAGCAATGCCTCATTTCCATAATTACCCTGCATTTAAAGCATTTCATATTAAAATGAGTGGATTATATAAAATGCTTTTACTTTGGTTTCCTGGAAATAGGCCCTTGCGTTGTGACTCATTAGGAAACTTTGTAGTTAATTTTCATTGCTACTATCATTTTTCAGGAGGTTCCACTTTTCTGCTAAAATGTTGCTGGTTGGTTAAAAAGAAAGAACAATGGTATCTGTGTGTGAACGTGCTTCGTGCTTCATACGCTGTGCGTTGTCCGGGTTCCCACTCGAAGCCGTGGGGACCATGTGTCCCGGCCGGGTTGCTGGGGCTGGCCTCGTGGCCAGTTGGCTGGGGCTGACCCGGTGGCTGGTGTGCTGGGGTTGGTCCCGTGGCTGATGTGCTGGGGCTGGTCCTGTGGCCAGGTTGCTGGGGCTGGTCCCACGGCCGGGTTGCTGGGGCTGGCCCGGTGGCTGGCCCCCTCCGGCCCCGCTTGGCCCTCTTCTGGGACGTTGACAGCACGCTGTCCCAAGGTGATGAGGATGAGCCGGTGCATGTTCTGATTCGCTTGGACGTAGCGCTTCCGACGTTCAGTCTCAAGCTGCCTGTCTGTGCGTGCAGCTTCTCTCTCCTAGGAATTCTTCCAGTAGACGCACAGAAGGGGGATGATGTTCTGTACATGAGCTGCTTAGGAAACTCTTGTGCCCTGAGTCATCTGTATCATGTTTAACCCTGCCGTCTGCCGTGCATTTCCTCGTCTGCCTGCCCGGTACATGCATGCAGAGCCGAGCTCTGCCCATGTGGCCGCCCTGTCGAAACCTCGGTGGCCAGGCCCTGTGCCTTAGCCCAGAGGTCTTCCCCTAAGCTGCTCCCTGCGTTTCCAGGTGCACGGTTCCCTCTGGGCAGAGACGTCCCCGGGCGTCCCATACCTGTGTTTATTCTTGCAATTCTCAAGGCGTTTGGTCCAGGCCCTTTTGTACCCAAAGAGCTTTTGTTGACATGGGATTTGTCTGTTATTCTTACCGTATTAGAAATTAGAACTGAGAGATTAAAGTACACGTATTCATTAACCTATTCAAAAGTAGCAGTTGGAAAAAAACATTTAGAATGGATGTGTTCATGTCGGTAAAAATCTCGAGTGCCTGTGGGTCAGCATGCGGAGAAGATCCAGCCTCACCCCTGGCTGCAGCTGCCCACGGAGGGGCATCTCAGCAGCCTGTCCGGTGCTGTCCTTCGACGCGTCACCGGTGGTGTTCCCTCCCGCGTCATTGCAGCGTGGAATCTGAAACTTCAGTGGGCTTTCTGTTCTGCCACGTTCGAACCTATGACTCCTCCTTTCTTGCATTTTGAACGTGTCTCTTGCCCGTGCGTGGTTCCCTAACCCCACGCATTGGTCATCGGGACAAATATTGATTGAGTTTTGCAGATCTTCTAATGTCAGTATGTCTTATCATCCAAAGCAAAGCGTGGTTTATCCTTAAGTTCATTTGGTAGTTAAGTTTGATCATCTTGAACCCAATACGCTGTATTTTTGAAAATAGAAGTCTTTGAAAGGATTAGGCTTTTTGATATAGTTTAATTTTTAAATTTGCTTTAAAAGTCGAGTTGACACAGTACATTTTTATAGAAATAAAAAGGTCGTATAATTTAGTCATATAATTTAAGCCACATTATGTCACAAGGGTAGCTGGATGCCTCCCTGGCCCCTCCCACAGGCTTGCATGCCTCCATCTCACAGCGACCCTGGGGCTTGGGAGCAGCAGAGAGATTCAAAAAGTAATTTTATAGTTTTCAGGGCCTTGGGTCAGGCGTGGGGACTCCGTGGCGATGAGCTGCGTGTCAGCCACGGGGAGCACGGCAGGCAGGGGCCAGCTTGTGCCTGGTGCTCGGCGGCCGTGTGCGGGTTCAAGCCCAGGTACGCACAACGCAGCGGGTGGGGCCAGGTCCACAGGAAGCCTTCCCAGGGGGGGACTCACCCTGCTCCTGAGCTTGGGGTACAGCTGGCCGATGAAGTTAAGGAGCCTCTTGCAGGGGACCAGGAAGCTGTGGCTGGAAATAGTGACAAATCATCTGCAAACCTAGGGACTCTTCCGCGCTTACTTGGAAAGAACATTCAAGTGAAATCCGATGACGGAGCGGGCGAGGCGGAGGCCGTGAAGCCGTGTGGAAAAGAAAATCGTGCAGAAGTTCGCAGTCCCCCCTCCGCGCTTGGGGACATAAACTTCCGGTCTGCTTGGCAGGTGTATCCCCGGAAACTGGGGACGGTGCCTTCCCTGAAGTGTCCTCCCTTTGACAGGCTCCACGTTGCCTGGGGCTTTCATAGCCCTGCCTCACCTCGCCTCCCAGCCTGCAGGAATATTCGGCTTTCTTAGCGATGACATTTTTCTCTGTCACTTGTGTAGCATGTAGAGTCTCCGGCCTGCTAACCTCTGGGTGGGCCAGCAGAGAGCTCGCGGAGAGTCTAGAACTTTCTGCGGCGATGGCACTGTTCCGTGTGTGCACTGGCCAGTCGGGCAGCATGAGCCGTGTGCGGCCGCTGAGCGTTGGCAGCGTGGCCGACGTGACGGAAGAGCTGAACTTTTAGTTTTGTTTAGTTTTTCCATTAACGTGAGTTTAAGTAGCTGAGTGCGCTGCTCCCATCGGGTCCTAGAAGGCCACGCGGGCCTGTGGGCGTGGCCGCTGCCTCAGTTTACCCCAGCCGCCTCCGAGGGACGAGCGTTATTTCCGTGGTGTGTTCCCGGGCGAGAAAGGCGGGCAGGTCTGGTCTGGGCCCAGGGCCTGGATGAGGTGGTCGGTGGGCCGGGGTACGAGGGGAGGAGCCCGCAGCCCCCTCCCGCTGAAAGACGGCTCGTTGCCAAAGACGCTGACCGTTCTCTCCAGCCTCTGCCACTCGGGACGCAGACGAGTTAGAATGCACGGTTTCTGTCCCCTTTGTCACCCTAGTTCTTGGAGCCAGAGGGAGGGAGGGAGGGGACCCGAAAGATGGCCCCCGCGGACCGTAGACAAGGGGAGACACAGACTTGCTGACGTGGGGGAAATAGGAAAATCTCCGTGGTCCTTCGTAGCCCTGGGTCCACTGTGTGGCGGTCATTGCGGACAGCGTGGGAGCCCCGCCCTTCAGTGTAATGCTGTGGTTTGCAGCAGGGGACCCCAATCCCCAGGCCGCGGACCAGTACCGGTTCCGTGGCCTGTTAGGAACCGGGTCTCACAGCAGGAAGTGAGTGGCGGGTGAGCCAGCGAAGCTCCCTCTGTACCTGCAGCCGCTCCCAGCGCCGGCATCACCGCCTCGGCTCCGCCTCAGATCATCAAGCGTTAGAGTCTCATAGGAGCACCGGGCCCTGGTGCCAACAAGGTCGGGGACCGCTGGTTTACAGCTTTGCGGGTTATAAAATCCTTTATGAGCAAATGAGAGTGTGCTGCGTGTGTCTGGCTGTCCCCGTCCGCCTGGACACCTGTTCATATGGGATGGCGCTTGTCAGTGTGGTCGGTCGTTACGTGATGTGACTGTCCCTGGGACCTGCCCCAGGAAGCTGTCAATCCCCCGAGAGCAGGGCCGAGTTCTTTCACAGCGCCGCGTTCCTGGTCCCAGCACAGTGCTGGGCGCTGAGAAGTCACTCAGCGTCTGCTGCGTGACTGTTTACACACAGAACCTGCAGGCCGCTGGCTGGCCTGACACCGCAGCACCAACACCTCGCTCAGAAAGCCCGGAACAGGTGTTGCCCATCCGTGGTCAGACAAGGCCTCTTTCATGTGGCGAGTCGGGGCCCAGGGCTAGCACCTGGGCTGGTGACACCCCCACACCCTCCCACACCCCCACCCGCGTGAGCTCGCTCTCCAGGCTGCAGTGGTGTCTGCACCGGGCCTGCGGGAGGGTCAGTGGGGGCGTGTTAGTGGGCAGGCCCGGAAGTGGCAGGTCTCACTCCGCTCACATGCTGGTGACTGGAGCTCGGTCCACGGCCACTCCAAGGGAGGACCAGGCCACGTGCCCCGGAAGGAGGAGAAGTGCTTTGGTGAACAGCTAGCTGATCTCTGCCACATTTAGGGCCAGTCAGCAAACTGTAGCCTGTGGGCCAAATCCCGCCAGACTTTAGTTTTTATATAAAGTTTTATTGGCACACAGCCACGTTTACATGCTGTCTGGGTGCCTAGTTGCGACAGAGAGCATGTGGCCCCCAAACCTAAAACATTTACAGGAACAGCGTGTACACCGCTGATCTAGACCATCCACCTTCTTCCCCATCCGTGCATTTTACCGAGACGAATCAGCACCTTCTCGTTCCTGGTCCTCTCTGTGCAGAGCCCCTGTATTTCTCAGCGTGTTCTGTTCGATCTTGGGTGTTTCATGTATTTGTTTTGGGGATGGTTAATATGAGTGAGATCTTCGTTTCTTATCATTTTGTATTCTAAAAGGTCAGCACTTACACGGAGGAAAGGTGGTTCTGTCTGTGCGTGTTTGTTCTTTTTTTGGTACGAGCTTCATACTACTAATTGGTTTTTTTAATGTTACATTTTGAAAAAATTTCCAGCTTCCAAGAAAGTTACAGGACTAGCACAAATAATTCCTATACGTCTTCTGCCCAGATTCATCCGTTTTTGACATTCTGCCACGTTCGCTCTAGTATTTCCTGTCTCTCTTCCTCTCTCTCTACATATATATAAACGTTATTTGAGAAGGATTTATGTAGATCTGATCCTTTTTCCTTAATGCCACAATATGTATTTCCTAAGAAAAATGGTATTTTTCCATAAGCAGAGCCTTTTTAAAAAATTTTTTATAAGATTTTCTTTGAGCCAAACTGATGACCTTGCCAGGAAGCCAGATCACAGATGCTGTCGATAGCCTCAGCCTCGCTATTAAATCGAAGGAGTCCAGCATCACTGCGATGCGCTGGCCTAGCCCGGAGCCCGATTTGTCAGTCGTCCCGATCCATCTTTGCAGAATCCCAGCCCCGGCCGAGTCCTGTCCAGGTGGACGGAGCCTTGCGTCCCGCCGGCCTGGCATCTTTGTCGCCTGACCCTGGAGCAGACCCTCAGCCTTTCTCTGTCTTGATTGACCTTGGCATTTTTAAAAGAAAACAATACAGTTATTTTATCAATGTCTCTCAATTTGGGTGGTGTCCTTGATGCAGATAGTGTGGGTCACTTGTTCTGGGCGGGCGTCTGGGCCTCTCCACCGAGTCGTTACTGTTTTTCCTCTGTAACTAACAAGCAATTTTTGAAATTCAGTACTGGAATAAAATGTTAACTGTGTATCCAGTCACATTGACTGCTTCTAGTAACAGTTTTTCATTCACTTTTCACGTGTGTTTTCTAGGTCATCATCTTCATCTGCGTGACGGTTACTTTGTCTCTTTTTTGTTGTTGTCTCGTGGAATTGCCTAGAACCTCCAAGTAACACTGAATAAATACCATGATGGGGGCTTCTTTCTTCCCTCTGGCCCTGCCAGGAATGCTCACGAGGCATTTCAGAGCAAATACAGCTCGCCGCGTAAAAGCCACTCTCTTAAGGGAACCTTCCAGATGCCTCTCCGGGGCGAGGTCCCGTGGGCAGCACCCCGGCGCCCAGGGCTCCACGTCCTGCCGTCTCGGTGTTCCTTAGTGGTTGGTAGTTTGCTTATCTGATGCACCGAGTATCGTGGGGGCAGGACTGTGCTTTGCTGGTTGTCTTCCTGGAACCACAGTACCTGCCAGCACGCTTGGCACACAGCACTAGGGCACTTCGTGCATTGTTGGCAAAACGCATCAAGAAACAAATAGGACAGATCTGAATGCAAAACCAGTGTGGCCAAAGAAAGTGATAGCAGGCCATCATAGTGGTTCAGCTTTTGAAAGGTCTGGCTGCATCACCCCGCGGCTGGATGCCCTTGGACAAGTTGACAGAACCTCAGGCTCCTGTCTGTAGACAGAGCCGCTCCTGGGTAATCGTGAGACATTAACACACTCACGGCAGTGTGTTACAGTACCCACCTCTGTGCTGGCATGGAGGCACGCCCGCCGTCTGCCGCGTCATCGCTGTCGCCGCGTCGGAGAGGGACTGTGTTCACCCCACAGAGCATCTGGTGTCTGAAGCGAGATCTGACCCATTGGTACAGAAGCTGTGGCGGGACCTCGAGCCCATCACAGTGGAGCGGCGTGGACAGGCCCTCTGCCTTGCAGCGAGGTGCGACCCCTGACCGGGTGTCACAGAGCAGCATGTTCTTGCATCGCCAGGATCCCTCCCGGCTCCTACAGGTGTATGATCGGAGTGAAACATTAAGGTTTGTTTTCTTGTGCTTCTCCGAGCGGCTTGTACAGGGAGCTCAAAGGACAGGGGGTTGGAAAGGGGGAACTCGGGCTTTACCTTAGATCGGCTTGAACAACCTTTGTAGGGCAAAGCCTGGCTGGCTTAGGCAGGATACCAGGAGATAAGCAGGGCTGAGGGCTTTGATCCCCAGCCAGCCGCGGTCGCCAGTCACAGCACTGCAGTGTGAGCGAAGGAAATGCTGCGATCTGGCGGTGGGAGCCCAGAACTGGTTAAATAATTCATAGGTATTTCGAGGCATAAAAAATACAGAAAAGTGCAGAGGATAATTTACCACGTACTTGCGTAACCACAAGGCATCGATACTTGTTTACATTTGGCCATCTTTTTTCAAGCCTTTTTTAAAAAAGAGGATCCCGTGCAGATGACGTTGAGGTCCCCCGTGTTCCCCTTTCCAGCCTGTTTTGCTCCCTTCTCCAGAGGCAGCGACCTTTGGGAATTTAACCCTTTCTCAGGCTTTCCAAACACACAGAGGTGCCTACGAATAACACACTGTCTAGTTGTGCTGTGGGGGCAGTTTACGCAGATGGTGTCATGCAACCTCTTCAGTGTGCTATGCGTATTTCCACTTCTCCAAATAGACTTCTTCACGGGTGATACCATCAGACACAAATAACTGTGACTGTCCCTTGGTAGCCCTGACATTCGGGCCCAGGCCTCCCCTGCGGTGCGGCCGCGATTCCTGCCTCCCTTGTTCTCATGGCTCTAACCACAGTGGCTTCCTTAGTGCCTGGGTGGCCTTGCTGACCCCCGGTGTGTCTGGCCTTCGGGACTCCCTCCCGGTCTCAGGTGGAGCATCACTGTCTGCTTCGCGCCCCGTATCCCCGCCCCGCCCCCCCGCCCCGCTCGTCCCCCGCCCGCCTCTCCTGAGCTGCTGCCACCCGCTCGTCCCCAGCCCGCCTCTCCTGAGCTGCTGCCAGACCATATAGCAGCAGCACCCAAGACGAGACAACCCGAGCGTCCCCCCAGCTGGCATGGACTCGGAGGTGAATTGGGTGCTGGATTCTTGGAACTTGGACCAGACCCAGGCCTTTCTAAAGGGCCCACATAAGGTAGGCTCATCCTGGAGTGGCCAGGTCCCTCCATCACTGCACATGTGGCTCAGCATCGCTGCACTGTCTGGTCCTGTCACCTTCCACATTTATGTGTTTCATCTGCAGGTATGTGGAACCCTCGTTACGCGTTCGGCTGTATTTGGGGATATTTCATTCTTCAGGTTTCTTACCCTCTGTCATACCTCTAACCTTTAAGGGAATGACCTGTAATTCTGACATTTGGGGATTTGATGCTCACATTTGTTTTTACTTTATTTTAATCAATAATTTTGTCAAATTTCATTATAACTCCTTGTAGCCTTCATCTTTTACAATTTTCAGAATCGTAAAACTGTAAAAACAAAAAAAATGGGTAAAATTCTTAAAGTCAGTGACCTTTTAAAGGACTAGAGGGGATCTCTTTGGAGAGCCATCTATCCAAAACGACTTCTCCAGAGGGTTCCAGATTGCTGATATGGTAGCTAACAGGAAGTCAGACGTCTGGAATTCTAAAGCTTATTTGGGAGCTTACTTTATCAGCCTGCATTCTCTAACTTTTTTTTAAGTCAAAAATTCTTCAGTATCATTTCTTTACAAAGGAGCTAGTTTCTAAAAGACAGCAAAAAAAAATGCTTTCGCTTTTATATACTTTTATATGTTTATTTCAGATTTTTTAGTATTAAATATGTTTATAGAAAATCTGGAAAATACAGAAATGTGGCAAGGAGAAAAGTCACTAGTAACCCCTGAGCCCAGAGGTGACCGCTAACGCCCTGCAGCGAGTTTTCTTTGTCTGTTTCCTTAAAAAAAAAAAAAAAGCTGGAATAGGCACCTGCTGGAACTGCATATTTGGGATGTCACAGCTGCTGTGATCCAGTCTTGTCACCGGGGGCTCTGAAGCACCATTTTCATGTTAATGTCTGTTTAGGGGAGTGGGTTAGGGTCGCTGTGGCTCCGGGAGTTAGGGCTTCACCTCTGTGGCCTCCCCACAGCGGAACGTAAACAAACAGAAGGGAGGGAACTCAGCGGGGTCCCACAAACACGGCGCGGGTCACCTGGGGGGCGGGGCCGAGGCTGCTGGGCGCTGGGCGCTGGTCGGGAGCGGGGGCCTCTGCCAGGCCGCGGTCCCGGGCTGGGTCACAGTGCTCATGCTGTCCACAGGCCAGTGTCGCTCCCAGCAGTCCTGCCCCCAGAGTGGAGAGAGGTCAGAGGCTGGAGAGTCACAGGCCGTGTGAAGTTGGGGGTGGGGCCGCCGCACCCCGCGGTCACTGCGTGCATTCGTCTCCTCTGGGGGAGCAGCAGACGCTTCTCCCTGTTCTCAGCACTTTTTTTTTTTTTTGCAAGATCAAATAACTTTATTAAAACTGGACAAATGTCACGATGGCCCATGAAGAGCTCTCGTGAGGACATAACTTAGCTACTTTACGCCTTCGTCGTGCTCCACTGCGAAAAAACGAGACTGGAGCCTGAGGGCTTCCCCTGGTCCCCGTGGACGAGAGACGTGGGACCCGCCCAGGCGCGGGCGGGAGGGACGGTCCAGTCTGAGGGGAAGAGGGAAGGTTACCCGCTCCCCACCGCCTGGACCGCTGTCTCGTCTCTGTTTTTGTGAAGTGCACTAGCTCTGTGGAGCCGGCACAGCACTGGGGAAGGAGGAGTCCCTGGGGACTCAGGGCACGGGCTGGGTGGGTACAGGCCGGAGAGAGCGGGCTGGGTGGATGCTGGCCAGGAGAGAGCCCCTGGCTCCGTTTTTTTCGTTCAGAGAAAACCGTCCTGATGAATAGGCCTTCGGGAGAAGTCTGTGGGACTCCTGATGCCATTTACATAACAATTAAACTAGTTTAGTGTCCCCACGCCGGCTGCCGAGACCAGGCTTCTCCCGGCCATTGTTCAGCATTGTTAATCTGTTTTATGGCCCGGTTTCCCCAAGTGGGTGATTCCTTCTCCTTGGTACTAAACACACACAGAGACCTGGGAGGCTGCAGTGAGCGCGGGCTCTGAGAGCCGCCCGGGATCCTTCCCCCTGCCCGCCCCGCCTGGCCGGCTCGTCCCGGCTCCACGCCACGCTGGCCGGCTCCGGGGCCTGTGAAAGCCGCTTTGCCGTCGATGCTCAGGTCCTCGCTTCCACTCCCCGTGCTGAGCTGATGGAGGACGAGCCCCCCGCCCCCACCCCAGTGGGGCTAACGGAGGGGCTGGGCGCGTGCCCCCTGCTGGGCTCCGGCGGCTTCCCTGGGTCTCAGAGGTGGGTTTTGCAGGGCCTGAGTCTTGGGCCGAGGTCAGGCCTTTCCAGGTTCTGCCAGGTGCTGATTCTGGCCTCCTGTGTTTTGTCTTGGGTCTTATCCGAGAGGGCGTGGAGGCCTCTTGAAAGAGTCCATCGCTTTGTAAACATCGTCCGGTTGCCAGTGATTACCCCGCCTCCCGCCTCCCATAGGAAAACCCAGCTCCTGTGGCAGCGGTGGCCTGGCTGGGGGAGGGCGGCCTGAGGGCGGCCCGTGGGCGAGGCCACGCCCTCAGGAAAGGCTGAGCAGCGTGAAGTCTGTTGGCCTTCAGTTAGCCACAGTCATTCTTTTAGTATGGAATTTATGTGACAGAGAACAAAGGTGACCAAAGTGTAATAAATTAGTGTAATAAAAACAGAGCAGTTTGCCCCAGACAGTATTAACTTCACCTTTCGTGTGATCTGGGAGAGAGTTTTCTCCAGTCGTTTCCATGGTGAGGCCACCGGTGGAGGTGTGGCCTCCCCTCCCCCTCACCTGCTCCCAGCCCCCGTGTTTGAGTGCTGGCCACGCTGGGGGGCCCCTCTTCCCCCTGGCTGCTCCCTCTTGGGGAGCTCGGGGGTAGGCAGCAGTCAAATGCCGCTTCTGGAAAAGAGGCCAGTAGAAAATGCTGACTCCTGAAAGTGACCGGAGGAGCACTCGGTGGCTGCAGCGCTGGAGCCCAGGCCCACGGCCCCTCGTGGCCTCGAGTGCCCGCCCCGCTCCTCCCACTGGAGAAGCCCCCGGCCCGGGGCCTGCCCCAGCTGTTTCCCCCGCCCAGGCCGAGGCCCTGTATGTGGCTCCCTGTCACCTGTGCCGCTCACTCTGCAGCACGGACATGTCTGTCCTCCTCCCTGACTGGGTCACAGGCCCTGTACTCTCTTCTTTATTTCATTCCTAGGCCTGCACGGGGCCAGGCGCCTAAGCGTTTGATAACCATGTTGCTGAGCTAAAAGCCGGGCGAGCACGCAGCGGGAGAGGCCGTGTCCGGGCAGCGTGGCGGGCCCACCGGGCCGGCTGTGACCTGGGGAACTCCTGCCAGGTCACTCCTGCCTGCCAGGGCCGGCCTCATCCCAGTTTTGACCCCATGCACCTCCACGGACCTCACCCGAGAACTTGCCGTGCACACACACTCGTGGGTTGTGGTGGCACGGGTGGTCTGCGAGGCGTCCAGAGGGAGAAGTTCCAGAATTTAACTGGTGAAATGGTGAACTCCTTTTGCCACAGTAAAGTTAATGCACGTGATAAAAATTTTCAAATGGCATATTCTGCCACGGGTTTGAACGTGTGGGCAGTGAAGTTCCGCAGGGCAGTGCTGACTCCCTGCCGGAGTCACCTGGAGCTGCCCTGTGCCCCCTCTCCTGCTCACCTGTGCAGCGGGCGTGGTGGCGGTCTCCACCTCCACAGTGACCGGGGGCGACCGGGCTCACCGAGGACAGCCTGGCTCGCAGGGAGCCGGGCGGGTAGCCGCCCGCTTTTTGACGCGTGAGGCGGGAAAACCAGGCAGAAGGATGACTTTTAAAGTTAAATCACTTGGTGGTAGTCGATTCAGCACCACTTATGATTTTTATTGTCAAAAAACAGTTGACAGAGTTCAGTTTCTTTGATTTCTCATCCGTAAGAAGATGAGAAGCAGGAGCCATCATTTACTGTTTTGATGACTTCGGACA